CTCACAGCTCCAATATCCATTGGCTCCAAATCGGGATCGTTCCCAGGCCCGCTTTCTTGCTTTTCAGCTAAGGCTGTGGATGTGGCGTGTGTCCTTTCAATTCTGCGGAGGTATTCCATCATGTCAGCGAGTTCCACTTTTTCGCCCCTCATCTCCCTGTCTGTGGCCCAGCCAGTCACTGTTTGCCTCACTACGGGTTCCAGCCCCGCAATAAACCAATTGTAGTGGAGCTCCGCGGTCACCATAGGACTTCGGTTCACCAAGGACTGGTATTTCTCAATATAGCGCTTTATTGAAAGTTTTCCCTGTTCAAGCTTTCTCAGTTCCGCCATTGCCTGCTCCCTTGCGGACGACGGGATAAACGTGCAACGTAGCGCGTCCCGGAAGGGCTGCATGGACCTGATGTGCTCCAGGAACGTGGAGCCGTTGCTTAAGTGTTGCCACCATCGCCTTGCTTCCCCTTCTAACAAGGAAGAGGCGAGGAGGAGTTGGAATTCTTCTGGGGCATTTTGAATGCTGAGGTATAGGTCTAGGGAATTGAGGAACTCCCCCAAAGCCTCTACATCTCGGCGCCCGTCATATCGCGTGGGACGGCACAGCCGGAGGCACTCCTCTTGAATCGTTTTTGGCAGGAATGCATTTTCTCCAGAATTGGATGCCGAAATGGAGCTGGCTTCCGCTTCGTGGGGTTCCGGACCGTGCATAGACCCCCCCTCTGTGAGTGGCTCATAGTCAACCTCCATTTTGCCGAAGAGAACGCTGAAATTGGGAGAGGTTTCGTCTACAAGGGAAATGGGTTTTATTTCGATATAAATAAACGGACAAAACAAATTTTTATATATATTCTTCGCGATCGTTTGCTTTTCAGCTATGCTTGGTCTCACGCGTGTGGGGATCGGGCCCGGGCTCGCACCTTGCCGATGAACCATGCGGTGCTACCAAGTGTAACGCTTGTTCTCTGGCCTTTATCTGACCAGAGACGAGCCGCAATGAAGGCAAAGGCTTAAAGCAAGAGTTTCCCAAAAGCAGCTGACCTCCTTCGCCGGACCCTAGGCATCCTGGGCCTTGAGCTCAGGGCCAGGGTGTCGCGGGGAGGATGCAGCCAGAAATGGGGTTGCAGCGCACCCCGCTGCGGCTGGCAGCGCAAGCCAGCCCCACGCGTGGACGAAAGGAAGCTTCAGGGAAGCTTCCTTTGCTGCGTGCTTTGCCTCTGAACGAACTTGTAGAACGTTTGCAAGCACTTACACGCAGCATGCCAAAACCGTCGGGAGACTCCTGAGCTAACTCTGCGCTAACTCATGCTACAAAGGAGGTCAGCTGCTGTTGGGGAAACCTTTGCTTCAAGTCTTTACCTACATTGCAGTTCACTTCTCTCCTTGATTAAAGCCAGAGAGCAACTGTTATATCTGCTGCCGCTGCTGCTACTGGTCGGGGTGGGTCCGCTGCAGTTAGCGTGCATGGAATGGATTCCACAGGGGTCAGTCCGCCTAGGGACGGGAGAGGAGGTCAACTGCCTTTGGGGGGAGACTTATCCTACGTATTTCGACTCTTTTGCAGCTCTAGATTGTCCTCCTGTAAGCTCGAGAACTCG